CCGTGGAGTCACCTGGAAGGCCTTTGGCCTCTCCAGTCCTGGCCTGTTCAGTCCCCCCCCCCGCCTGCTCCAGAGGGGACCCTCCCCCAAGCTGTGCTGCCGATGAGGAGCTGTCCCCCCTCCCAAGTGTGTCCCCCGGCTGGGCTCGGGCTGCCTGGTGCTGGATAAAGGTGCTTTGTACGGGACCGGTGGGGGGCTGGGGGGAAACGCCTGTCTGCCTGGCATGAATGCGCCCTCAGTCGCTGGAGAAAGCTAGAGAGAGAGAGAGAGAGAGAGAGAGCGCCTCTCACACCGCTGCTGCTGCTGCCACCGCTGGCCTGGGTTTCATGGCCCGCTGCTGCTGCTGCGAGGGGGAGGGGGGAGGCAGGCGGCCCGCAGGCCGAGCCAGGAAGCGCTGGGCGTGGACAGGGCTTGTGGGAATGATTTCATTGGAAAGGCCTGCGATACTTTCCCCCTCTTGTGTGTGGTTCTTGGAGGAGGTTGGAGGTGGGACGGCAGCAGCGGAGGCAGCGTGGGGCTCTCAGTCGGGCTGGCCAGCATGGAGCAGCCTGGCCTCTCCGGGGCTCCCGCCCTGCCCTGATCCCGCCCGCCTGGGGCTTTGCTGTCTCTGCAGCCGGCGCTTTCAGCCCACCTGGCTGGCCGGCCGGCCTCCATGCCGCCCATTGCTAACCACCCTGCTGGTTGTCTTTGCCTTTCTAGTCTTCGGGCGCCCCGTCTGACAATGACCCGCTCGGCCCCCTTCCTCCCGGCTGGGGTAAGTACCCTCCCCTTGCCCTGCGCTCGGATCGTCCCTCCTCGGGGGGGGGGCTTCTCCTTCCACCCAGGCAGGCGTGTCCGGCTTCAGGAGCCCTTGGGGCCACTTGAGTCAGCTAGACTGGCCCAGGGACCTGTCCGGGCTCTGAGTTCGAAACCTGGCTTCCGAGCCCAGAAACGCTGGGGGCAGGGGAGGGAGACTCTTTGCCCCCTGGCTCAGAGCTTCTGTCGGCCCCACGTGGAAGAGAAGGGGAGGGAGCCCGAGAGGAGTTCTCCGGCTGCCTGGAAGCCGCTCTGGCTTCTGTCGCTCCTGAGTGAGTTGTGTTGGGGGGGCTGAGGGGCGGGTTGTGTGCTGGGATGGAGAGTCCTCCACCCCTCCTGCAGCAAGAGTTCCTGTGTGATGTGTGTCTCCTGCAGGGTGGCACTGGGAAGTGTCAAAAGCATTTAGATCTGACTTGAAATCACACTGTCTGGAGAGGGGGGCATGGTGCTGCTTTCTTTTTAAACGCTGCTGGCCCGGCTGGAATGAGGCCGCCCCCGGGGAATTTGGAAGGAGCCCTGAGGGCCTGCTGGAGTCCTCTGGTGCCAGCTGGCAGTCGTGCCAGGGGCATGGCAAGGATGGGGGGGGTGGCGCTGGTGGCCAAGCGGAGAGGTGGAGGGGGCAGGGGGGTAGCGATGCAGGCTGCCTCCTGATGGTTGAGGGGACGGGGGTGGGTGGGAGTGACACCCTCACCCACCAGGAGAGAGACCTGGTGGGTCAGATCCCTGCAAGAGGGGGGCCGCCCACATCTGCCCGAGGAAGGGAGGTACCCTGGGGTGCTCTTCCAGCCGGTCCCTGGTCTGTCCATCCTCTGCCCTTGAGTCAGCGCACCCTTCCTGGCCAAGGGGAGCATTTTGCTCCACGCATCGGGCGGAGGAGTGTGTTTGGCCTCTCCAGGATGGGCCACAATGCAACTCAGCCCCGCCCCCCACCCACCCCGTCCAGCCAGCGCTGCTTCCGCCCCCGGAGCTCTTTGCTAGAGGGCCTCCCATGGCTTCAGCCTTTGGCTCCCAGAGCTCTTTGCCAGAGGGCCTCCCATGGCTTCAGCCTTTGGCTCCCAGCGGTCACGCAGACTCAGGGCCCTCCGTCTGGGGTAGCTCTCCCAGCGCCCAGACATCCGCTGCCGAACCACTGGGTCATAGCTGGGGGCGTGGCTTGTGCTCTGCAGGGGACCTGGGGAAGGTTCTTGGAGCCTGGCTGTCCGGTGGTGGTCCGGTGCAGATGAGGCGGCCACAAAGATCTGAGGCGCACGCAAGCCAGGCTGGGGTGGGGTGAGGGGAGGGGAGGGTGTGCGGGAGACCGCAGAGCTGATTCTGGGGAGAGGTGTGGGAGGAAGGAGGGGAAGGGCCCTGGGGCAGTGGCAGAGCCTCTGCTTGGCAGG